TAAATTTTATACAAAGGTCAAATATGTAATTTTACTCATGGCGAAAGTATAATTGTCACCTCAAATTAAAAGTTGAATTTAAACATTCAATTTCGTGCTATTTGGTTTTAATCTTGACAAAAGTTGTGTAACTAGTTTCTAATATTTATAACACGATATTGATTTATTTAAATATTATGACGAATCGATCTCAGACGTCTAAAACCGGTTTCATTGAATGGTTGAACAAACGCCTTTTGATGCATTTTTGATTATTTACGAAAAACATATAGTCATTATTTTGATGAGTGAAATTCATTTTGCGACTCTACATGACATACGTTGTCCATAACTGATCAGTTCAAATCGAGAAGGTCAATAAGCAATTACTATAGAACTCAAAATTTGAATCCTTGTATTTACGAAATCAATTACTCGATCAATTCGATTAGAATTGCCTGATAGGAGGTGTAGTTTTTTATGGTACACTCTCATAATTATATTCATTCTTCCAAAATGCTGAATCCCAACCCTAAGGGCCCTTACACTCCGACCCGACAAAGCATTTGGGAGGATGTAAATCATGGTAACTCAACTGAACATGAAGCACAGAGGCTAGACATGTGCTCAATGCGCACAAGGAACCCCTCACTTTGAGAAGTTGCTCCCACACTGGCACACTGCTGCTGGTGAGAAACAAAAAGGAAAAAAAAAATTGAAATTACAATTGAAAAATAAAAAGGAAAAAAAAAAAAAGAGAAAAAAATTGACGAGCATAACACGTCGCATGTGCCCATTCTCTGAGCAACCGTCTTCGGATCCAAAGACTCGTGAATTCAGCCGCGTCCATGTATTTGTTCATCAGACTTTCTTCGAACCTCCATAATATTAGCCAATTAAGGTATTCAAAAAACTCCAAAAGAAGCAATTTAGTGATTTTAATATCATTTTCGTATTTTCAAAAAAAATATCATTCTTGTATTTAAAGATTTCCTGTATAGTTTACTTCCAATTACTTACATATTAACGCTTAACCAAATAACTTAAAATAATATCAATATATGTTCATAATGTACATAAACACAATAATGTCTAGATTCATAGTTTCAAAATATTACATATTAATTTTAAACACATAATATCTTATACAATCCATCTTCTTAGCAAATCTTGATAAAAAGCATTTTAGCATACCACCAAGAAGCATTGCTTCAAATAACATTTGAGGCACATCTTACAATTTATCTTCTTAATTAATCTTAAATAAAAAAAAAAACATAATAAATCCTTAAGTTTCGAGTTAAAACTTATTAAAATTTGCTTAACAACACATTTATGTCAATTATTTCTAATTAACTTGGTAAATAAGTAAACAATCAAATTGAATAATAAGAATTAATTAGTCCAAATTAACTAATCAACTCAACTCAACTCAATAGATAGAATTATTCATCTCAACCAACTTAACAACCTAATTTATTCACCGTCTATTATCGATTTAGTCTAATACGAGATATGATTAATATATTCTTTTTAAGCGTAGCTAAATATTTCCACTGTCAAACACAATAACTAATCTCTTTGCTGAATTGTAGTCTCTAAGGGCGAGACAACGGATCTGGAGTGATTAATCTATTTAATTTGACCCAATAAAACTTTGATTCTTACAATTATTATGTGAACTCTTTCTATTAGCTCTATTACAAGGTAGTATCTGTTCTATACTTTCTCAAACTGTTGAAGACCAAAGAGTTAATACCCATAACCACCGGAGTTAATATTTAATATATATGTACGACAATTTTATTCTATTTAAGAGAATTGTATGAAACTATTGTGTTTTGTCAAAGATCTAGATGATGAGAATACAATTTTATCATAATATACAGTCATGCGGTTATCATGTGACGATCGCATAAAATTTAGTGATTGAATTTTATATGCATTATATGGTCCTTCCATGTACAAAAGTCTTGGTCTTAGTCAAACTCTATTAGGGTAGAGAATTGACTTCAACAAAACATTGGAAATTAGCCCTTCTATTAAAAAAAAAATTATTTAGGGTGTGTTTGGTCCATGGATTTATATATCAGAAATGCAAATCAAAATTATAGTTAGCGTTTGGTCGCAAATTTTGTAAAACACAACTATGAGATTTGATTACCCCTACAATTCAAATTTTCATTTCCTAATTAAAAACGGGTATCATATTCCATCTTATTTGTAATCTAATTTTTAAGTTGAATTAGTGCTTTTAGATTTTTGTTTTGATTTTTTTTTTTTTGGTGTGTGTTCGTGCTTTGGTTGTCATTATATATTCGAATCAATTGTCTTGATTTTTGGTTTTTTGTTTTTTTGTTTTTTGTTTTTTGTTTTGTTTTGTTTTGTTTTTGTTTTTGTTTTTTTTTTTTGTTTTTTTTTGTTTTTTTTTTTGTTTTTTTGTATTTTAAAAACCTTTATTCCCATGGTCATACATAATCAAACATTAATATTGATTATCATTCCAATTTCAACCTACTACCAAATATGCAAAATATTTTCACCAAAATTCATTACCAATTAAAAAGTATTTGATTTCCATTCTAATTTTGATTTCCATGTGTGAACCATACACTCTTAATAATTTTCTATCTTATAATACAACATTTTTACGATGTAAACGAGACATTTAATATGTATATTTGTTATGCAAAACTTTTCATACAAATAAAAAGAGTAAATTACTGAAATCTACTATACTAATAAGAGCCCAAGAGAGTTAGGCCTATAATGGGTAGAAAAAATGGCGGTCACAGATTTTAATCAAATGAATGGCTCAGATTGATTAAAAGATTGATCAGATTTAAATTTTACACTAAAATTTCTTAAAATACCCACACACCGTTACTAATTCCGTTAAAATTTTAAGAATTGTCGTTAGTTCACCGTTAACTTACTCATTAATTTCAATAAAAAAAAGTCTTAGGTTCGAACCCTATCCCAATCAAAGTTGGCATAATTAGTACTCTATTTTACTCTTATTAAATCATATAAATAATAATTTAGTAGTTACAACAAAAAATAATACATATGCATTTCTTTAATTTAGAATTATGTGTCCATAATGCCTTTATTCAAAAAAAAAATATTCATTATCAATAAATTAAATAAGAGAAATAATTTTATTAGTTATATTGTCTTTATTTTTCTTCAATATAAAAATTCTTTATATTCAAATTTATTAATTGATTATATTCGCTACATTGTCCTTACAATGTCTTTATTCAATGAAAAAAATTATTAATTATCAATAAATTAATTAAAAGAAATATTTTCATTAGTTATATTGTCTTTATTTTTCTCAAATGTAAAAATTTTTACATTCAAATTCATCAATTGATTATATTCACTACATTATCTATTATCTTTTTTTGTGCACTATTTTTCTAATTAAATATCAAAGTTATAATACAAAATAATTCTATATATTTATTTACCAAGTATTTTATTAATACCATGAAAAAATTAAAAAAATATAATTAATAAAGCCAACCATATTAACTACTTGAGAGATTTTGTGACAAAGAGAGTATTCAAATCACACAACAAATTGAAGTGAGAACTACCTCGCAATGTCCTTGTTTAACAATCAGCGGTTAGCGTTAGCGGATTATACTAGCGAATTTGACCAGCGAATTTATTCAATTATTAACATTGGGTAGAAAAAATGACCGCCAAATTATTAAATCAAATGAATGGTTCATATTGTTTAGGTTTTAATTTTTTTCATTTAAGATTTTCTAATTTATCCTTAATTATATGATTATCCATTTAACTTTTCCGTTAATTCACCCTTAGTCTAATTCTAATATTAAAGTCTAATATAGAATTATAACTACACCATTAATATAATTCTAATATTAAAGTCTTAATAGAACTTAACCACAAATCCTAATGTCGGAATCTCCTCAAACAATATTAGTATATATTTAATATTTTATGGGTCCCGTATTTGGTTTCAACAATACCTATACAATTATTTTATTGACAATTATAATCAATATTGACTATATTATCTTGCATTTGTAAACTCAGAATTACCTATTTAACTCGCACGGGCTTAGCTCAATGGTTTAGTAGGTAGTATTTGGGAGAAGAGACCAAGGTTTGAACCTCGGCGGCGGCAGTGCGGGAGTTATGTCCAAAGTGGGCAGATTCCTTGTGCGTATCAGCATTTGGCCCTGTCTGCTGAACCATTAAGTCACCGTGATTTACAACTTCCCACAATGCTCAGTCGGGTCGGAGTGTGGGGGGACCCCACGCAAATTCAACCTTCAATTATCTATGCATGAACAATTTCAATATAATCATGCCTTAATATACTTTAAAGTACTTAGGGCATTATCCCAATCGCGCAATGTGCGTAAAAAATTAATATTCCTATAAATTGTAATGATTTTACCGATGTGATCATTGACTTCCAATTTCGTCTAACAATGTTATGACTATCAAATTTATACATATTTTAATTATTTTAAGAACTAAAATTGGTAGATATTAGGACAAAACAATACATTTAATGGATTATTATTAAAATATTTTAATAAGAGATCAATGTAATTTGATTCGGTGACGTTCAAGGAGATTAAAGTTGTGTCACATCAGGTTAACTAATTTTTTTTAAAGAATATTTAATTATTCGATGAACTAAAATTAGTAAGTATTTGAACAGAACAATGCATTCAGATGACTAAAAAAATGTATAAATTTAATAGGACGTTATTTAATGTATTTAAATTCAAAAATTAAAATGGTAAAATCAATTTTTTTTTTTGGTTATTTACTTAAATAAAATTGTTGAAGTTGTTAAAGGGCATAACATTTTGGTACACAAACTTCCTTAAACAACTTTATACAGAAAGGAAAGAGCGAAAGGTGATGAACTAAAGAAAGATATTTATTCACAGAAGGGGAGACTTTTAAAAGGCTTTGAAGGACTAAAACGTCATTTCATTACTGTGGCTCTATATATAAGAACTCAAATCTGGTACTCATCTTCCGAGTGTTGATTTAGTGAAGCTGGTGTGCTCGTGCTTCGCTTTCGGAGAAAAGTATTCTCCGGCGACGACTTAACCGCCCTGAATCGTCGGAAAACTGTCCGGAACTACGGCCACGTAAGTTTTCGGGGACCATTTCGTTGAGTTTCGTGTTTTTATTTTTTTCATATTTTATTCTGGTTTTGTTGATCCGATTTTTGGTGGTGGGAAAGGTGAGGAGGAATAGTCGGTAGTATGATTGTAAATTTACTGGTTTTCGAGGAACGGTGAACGTGGATTGACTAAGATTGGTTCGGCTTTATTTTATGATTTTATTTTGCAGGTTCTGAATTGAGTTAAGAGGAAGAAAGGTGAGAGGCTTTGTGTTTGTGAATCAATCTGAGTTAGTATTTCTGCGAGGTTAGATCGAATCTCGTTGTTCCGGTGAGGAAAATGGGGGTAAAAGTTGCGACGACGTGTTTGCATTGGTCGCAACATTCAGTTCCACACTCGCCGCCTCATCCTCACGTCCATGCCGCAATGATTTCATCTCTCCCGAAACGACGCGGTTTTGTGAGCGGCGAAAGATCTGTGGTTTGCCGGTTCGTGCACAGGTTGGAAAGATCGGCGTTTCTCGGAGCCCCGCCGACGACGACGAAGCTCTCCCGGTCCCGATCCTGCGAGTTTCTCAAGCCCCCCGCACAAACCACCATAAGACGTGCTTGCAGTGCCAGCCTAGAAGATTCTTTCTCGGACGAGGAGTTTACTAGGAGAATTGAAGAGTTGGCTTTGAGTTTCCAGCGATGGGATGATGAAGAAACCTTAAATTCAAGCTCTAGCGATGGTGAGGAAGAAGAATTCGTGACCGGTTCCAGTGAAGCAGCGTGCCGGAGCAGTGATGAGTGTACTAATGGTGGCATGTTTTTGGAGAATCAGAAATTTCATGATCAAATAGAGCCTCCGGATTGGGCTAGAAGGGAGGAAATTATGAGGAAGGCAAATAGTATGGATTTTCCACTATCTCTGCGGATTATTAAGAGTAAAAAACAATGGCAAGATGGGTTGACAGAAGTAGGAGAGTCCACATATTGCTCTGTGAAGAAAGCTTTTTCCAATATGGTGTTCATAATCCGGGAGCTCCATAGCTATTCTTTGAAGATGAGAGAAATCCTGTTCTATGAAGATCTACAGGAGATTTTGGTGAGAGTTCAGAAAGATTTGAACGCATCTTTTGTGTGGTTATTCCAGCAAGTTTTCTCACATACACCAAGCTTAATGATGTCTGTGATGATACTGCTGGCAAATTTTAGTGTTTATTCTATGGCGAGTAGTTCTGCTTTTGCCGCCACCCCTCCACTGGAGGCTTATACAGTCGCCACCACCGAGGAGATTTCTATGGTGGAAGATAGGAGTGATGTAAATCAAAAGTTCGATTTTTCGGCCTCTAGGACCTTCTCGGTGTCCTCTTCAAATGGGAAGAGTGTGTCAATAGGTGGAAACAATGGCGGTGGGGGGAAATTCAGGCCAGTTGCCGGTGGTACAGATGGTGATGGGAGGTTTGATGGGGCAATTGTTGTTGATGGGACGTCTTCAGTCGGCAACTCTACTAGTACTGGTGAAGAAGAAGCAGTTTCTGGGGAAGAAGAAGCAGTTTCTGGGGAAGAAGAATTGAGGCTGTGGAACTCAATTGAGGATGAGGCTAACAAAATGCAGTCTGAGTTAAGAGATGAGGCTTTGGATCATGAGACTATGATGAGATTTGTATCACCAATAAATGCAAAGATGGAGTCTGATGATTGTGTGGATTATTTTAGAACAGAGTTGCTTTATCAAACCGGAATCGCCCAAGAACCCAACAATGCCCTTTTGCTCGCCAATTATGCTCAATTTCTTTACCTCGTTGGTCAAGACTATGACAGGTATGTTCATGCTTCATTCATTTTCTCCCTTTTAGACTATGATGAGAATAGAATTTTGATCTAGCAGTTCAATTTTTCTTCGATTGATGCAACTTAGTGACTGGAAGATACTAGTGTAATCCCCGACTTTCAGCTCATTGCGACTGTGACTATGCCAAGAATTATTGGTTCATCTTTGAAAACTGTTGTGGGGAGGATAGAAAATCACCTTTAAAAGGCCATGTTGGTTGTCTTGTCAAAATGAGGGCTGGGTTGAATCTTGAATAAGGAAATATGTGGTGCAAGGGCATAGCATGTTCTCCTATCTTGAATGGTACTACTATTTAGCATTGTACTGAAAATAATATCATTGGGGCTATAATCTGAGTGGTATGGGGGCCATTTATTGTTTGTTGATTCCCTTTAAGGACCATAAACTTGATTGGGCTTTGGCAGTACATAAAAATGTGAACTTTATGACTGTTTTCTAAGATTGAAGTACAGCAAGTATAGGCTAGGTCTTGAATCTTGATTCCTATTTTTTCTTTGTTCCAAAAGATGGTTGTTGACCTTTGCTTATATGTGCTTGTAAACAGAGCAGATGAATACTTCAAAAGAGCTGCAGAGGTGGAGCATAAGGATGCAGAGGCATTGAACAAATATGCAACTTTCCTTTGGAAAGCTAGGAATGACCTTTGGGCTGCAGAAGAGACCTTCCAGGCAGCCATAGATGCTGAGCCTACTAATTCCTTCTATGCAGCTAATTATGCTCAATTTCTCTGGAACACTGGCGGCGAAGACACATGCTTTCCTCTCGACTCCCTTGATGAAAATGACGACATTTGATCCCAATCAACAGAAATAAACGAAGAAAAACAAGGAGAGGAATAAGGGGGAAGAAAGCAATGCTTTATTGACAAAATGCTATTAGGAAATGAAGAAGATGTAGACCATCATCATTTCTTTTCTGCATGGGCTGTTACAAAAGGCATTTGCCTTTCAGTTTCAGTTACTATCCATCTTTCAAAAGCTCGTAAGATGGGGATGGTGAAAGCATGAAATTCTTGGTTCGGAAATGCGTTATAAACCACAAAGGCTGATGATGGCTGGAGCCTGTTCTATCAGACAATAATCACAACAAAGATGGAGAGAAAGAGAGGGATGCCTGCCTCTGCTCTGCTTAGTTCATTTCTGTTTACTTTAATTTTCTCAAAACTTTTCATGTTCTGCACAGTTCATCTGAGTTTTCCATAGATCAACCTTGTCATAGAATAGCATGGCAGATTGTAATTAAACTTCTGTTAATAGATAAGTGCCGAAACTTTCCTCAACTTCTGTGAAGTTGCTTGACACCCATGAATTCTGTCAAAACTGAAGTAAGAAAGAACATCTGATCTCATCTCATCTCATCACTGCAAACACTTATCCCCACTGCATTAAATGCCAAACTTATCCTGCAATGTCATCTTCTGTCTGTTAGCAACATTGTAGTTTCCGCAGGGGAAAACTTGTGTTATCCCTTTGTCCTCACTCCCCCAAGACACACACTCAACTAACTATAGATTGCTGCGCTGTAACCTGGGGTGTGATTGAGTGGAATGGATTCATCCATTCTTAATCAAATGTCAAGATTCGATCCTTGGCTTTAGGTATGGAGCAGCCTAATCTCCAGGTTAGCTGTCTTACCCGAAAAATGTGCCTACAATTCAGCTAGGGATGCCTACAATTCAGCGAGGGATTAGTCGGAGGCTAGCTGTCTTACCAAAAGATGTGCCTACAATTCAGCGAGGGATTAGTCGGAGGCTAGCTGTCTTACCAAAAGATGTGCCTACAATTCAGATTCAGCGAGGGATTAGTTGGAGGCTAGCTGTCTTACCAAAAGATGTGCCTACAATTCAGCGAGGGATTAGTCACTGTGTCCGACGGTGAAAACCCTCCGATAGTAGAAACACTGGGTACACTAAAAAAAAAAAAATTGTTGCGTTGTTGGCACAACACTCCCTTGGATGAAGGGTGTCAGACATCTTAGTTTCTTGGCTTCGTCAGGCAATATCTTGGACCCTTATTAGATCTCATGAATCTGCCCCTAAGTCTATGAAGAGATAAATCGAGTCAATCTAGTTTTGGAATTTAAGACCACGTACACTTTACACTTTTGCACACAAAAAGACTAATCTAAATACAAATATCTAATGTTTGTGACAGGAATCGAATTACATCTTAGAATTTGCTTCCCACTGCCGGCACTGAGGCAGTGACACGCAGATATAAGGAGTGTAGTACTGTCACTTTCAGACTTCCCATTTAAGCATGGACCATTCACATATGAAATTCTATCGTTAGTGTCTAGGCAAATCTTGCCAAACATAAAGATTAGAAGATGGGGGACCTCTTTCATATACAGTATAATTACTATGATGAGTGAGTTGGAATTAAGTATAATTATTGGATATTGAGAGTCCTCGATCACAATACAAGAAAAAAATATGACACGTCTTTGCATGAATTTTGTTGGGTTTGGGTATCTGAGTTAAGCACAAGCTGCTAGTTATAATAACTCAATAAGCTCAATGTGTAATGAAACGATAATGGTGGCATTCTTCTAGTTTGAAAAGTGCCCCTTAAGGCAAGTAAGATGCCACTATTTATACAATATATTTTGTATTCTAACTATCTCGACTTGTTTTTTTTTTCAAAAAAAAAGAAGAAAAAAAACTATCTCTATTTGTTTTCGCTCTCTCATTGTTCAATGTGTGTAGGAACGATTGGAGCCGCTTAATAACTAAAAAATTTTGGAAATTTCTGAAAATTGTAAAATAGAAAATAGAAAACAGAAAATAGTTTTCTCTTAGTAAACAAGTTTTCTAAACAGAAAACAGAGAATGAAAACTGAAAAATTAGAAAGAGTTCTATTACATAGTCTCTCAAAATTCTACTCCCTCATTTATACTCGCTGAGGTGGCAAATCAGGATTGGTTATTTTCATCATGTGGATCCACGGGAAAATGTCTATATTAAGCATGTGATAGGGAGTACAAGTTGAGAGTTTAAAACGGGAGTACACCAAGTATTTTCCAATTAGAAAACAGAAAATAGATAACAATTTTCTGTGAGTAAACAGACCTTAATTTTTGTTTTGTTCCTTTGTGAACCAGGCCATCAAGGCATTGGGCTTCAACTCGAATAATATAAAATAGTGTGTTATTGTGCCTATGAGCCTATATATCTAGATATTGTTCAATCGTTATATCGTGCACCAGGGCGCATAATATCTAAAACGACATCATTTTTTATGTTAAGAGTTTATCTGTATTATGTATTATATTAGATTATGTGTATTATGTTATGAGTTTATGTGTATTCTACTATACAATTCTGTATATTCGAAGTATGAGATTTTTTTTAGAAGTTAACGGTCGAAATGTGAAACGAAATTTCCGACGTCGTTTTATCGTGAGTATATATATATATATATATATATATATATATATATATATATTATACAACAGTGGTAACCTGCTGTTGTATAAGTGTATAGTATATTATATAACTTTATTTATACATTCCCATAAATTTAATATAATATTTCAAAGGGTTTTACAAGGACAAAATTTATATTGTGCTAAAATAATCAATAATTACATGCAGGACATGAAAATAATTTCACAACTCTATAACCATGTATTTGGCAATAGAAAAATTGATAACACCAAATTAATTCAAATTTGATAGATTTACAGCACTTCAAGATCCAACATATTATATATGTATCTTGAAATCCATAGAATGTCATATTGCATGCAATCGAGACAAAATCTTAATAAAAGATATTTATATACATACATATATACATACATACATCAAGGGATGGAAACAGGGCGGGGAACGGGATCCCGTCCCCGAAAAAACTCTAAAGTCTAATGTATACTATTTCAACATATTAAAAAAAAAATCTTAGATAGTAATTAACATAAAGAGTTAATTTCATTTTTTGTCCTAGGTTTATAGGTGACAGTCCACTTTTAGTCTTTATATATATATATATATATATATATATATATATTAGAACATCCACTTTTGGTCTTAGTATTATTGTGGCATAACCAATTTTGGTCCTCTATAAAAAAAAAAAACGTAAAAATTTAGTTAAATACAAGGGCGTTTCGCTCTTCAATTATGAATTTTTTCAAAAAAATATAACGGCTCAACGCATTTTGTATTAAAAATATCAAAATGTCATTCTATTTAATGAAATTTCAACAATTGTGTTGATAGAGGACCAAAATTGATTATGTCACAATAATATTAGGACCAAAAAATAATATTCTGATAAAAAAGAACTAAAAATAGACTGTCACCTATAAATCTAGGATCAAAAATGGAATTAACTCTTAACATAAAACTTACATTTATGTCGAGACCAAGAGATTTGAAAAGTATTGTATCGATTACCCTCTATTCGATCGTGTGAGAGGAATCAAATTACGCCCTAGAATTTGCTTCCCACTGCCGGCACTGAGGCAGTGACACGCAGATATAAGGAGTGTAGTACTGCCTCTTTCAGACTTCCCATTTAAGCATGGACCATTCACATATGAAATTCTATCGTTAGTGTCTAGGCAAATCTTGCCAAATAGAAAGATTAGAAGTTGGGGGACCTCTTTCATATACAGTCTAGTTACTATGAGTGAGTCGGAATTACGGGTGTGTTTGGTTTGCATATGAGAATCAGAATCGAAATGAGAATTAAATACTTGATAATTGTAATAGGTTTTGGTGAAAGTATTTTGCATGTTTGGTAGTAGAGTGGAATTGGAGTGATTACTAATATTAATGTTTGGTTATGTGTGATCCTATTATGGGAATAAAATTTTTAAAAATACAAAAACATCAAGACAATTTATTGTAATATAAAGACATCCAAATTAAGCACCAATACGAACTAAAAAAAAAACAAAAACAAAACAAACAAACAAAAATTTAAAAACACTAATCCAAACTTAAAAATCAAATTACCAATTAGGAAGGAGAATAATGGAATGAAACCCTTGTTTTATTAGGAAATGAGTTTTCTAATTTAGAGGGTAATTAAGTCTCATAGTAGTGTTCTAAAAATTGTCAACCAAATTAAACAATTAAACTCATGAACCAAATACATCCTAAGTATAATTTTTGGATATTGAGAGTCCTCGATCACAATACAAGAAAAAAATATGACACGTCTTTGGCTCTTTGCATTAATTTTGTTGGGTTTGGGTATCTGAGTTAAGCACAAGCTGCTAATTATAATAACTCAATAAGCTCAATGCATGTGTAATGAAACGATAATGATGGCATTCTTTTATATATATATATATATGTATGTATATATAGGGGCGGATTTAGAGTGGGATAGTGGGGTAGCTGTCCCTACTCATCCCATATATATGTATATATAGTACCGGAGTACATGTTTTACATATGAATATAAGAAAACTAATGAAAGTTAACAATAGATAAGTACATATGAATATAAGAAAACTAATGAAAGTTAATAATAGATAAGTTGGTAAAGTTGCGTCTGAGGCTAAGGAAGGTCTGTAATTTGAATTCCTTGTCTAAGGCTTAAACCTAACATACACCTCCCACATAAGAGAGTAACTTGATACCAGTGAACCACAAGGTCCTTGATATGAAATGTGTAATTTATATATGTTTTCTATTTGAATTATTTTATCAAATTAATTATGTTTCATATTTTGTTATGAATATTTTTATAAAATTTTAATGTGTTTTATTTTTCGTCTATATCCAACAATATTTATGACTATATTTCTTAAGTGTTTCATTATTTTTCAAACTATAATGCTTTGCCCTCACTGAAAAAATTTCTGGATCCACGACTAAATAAATAAATAAATAAATATATGGTAGATACATGTGCATGGTAACAATAGTGAAAAATATAACAGAAGTTATAACGGTGAGAGTATGTTTGTCCAAAATATTATATAGTACAACTCTTATAGTATAATTTATTAAAAAAAATTAACAAAAAAAGGAACATAGATGAAGGGTATAAAATGTATACACACTTATTAGTTTTTATTAGATTAGAAATTTAACTTTCACATTACCTATTATG